GTGTGACCCCACTGGCTATAGGGGCAGGGGTATAGGTGTGACCCCACTGGCTATAAGGGCAGGGATATCTGTGTGATCCCACCGGCTATCAGGGCAGGGGTGTAGGTGTGACCCCACTGGCTATAGGGGCAGGGGTATAGGTGTGACCCCACTGGCTATAGGGACAGGGATATAGGTGTGACCCCACTGGCTATAGGGGCAGGGATGTAGGTGTGACCCCACTGGCTATCAGGGCAGGGGTATAGGTGTGAGCCAGCTATGGGGGAGGGGTCTGTGATGCATGCCCCCAAGCTATAGGGGCAGGGGTATAGGTGTTCCCCAGCTATAGGGGAAGGGCTGAGACACCCTCCCCCCTCCTGACTATGTGGGGTGGGACACAGCCAGACTCCCCTGGAGGGAGAGGTCTGGAAGCCCCCACTGCAGGGGCTGGGTCACAGTCAAAGCCAGGCTGTAGGGAGGGAGATGAGACGCCCACCCCCCAAGCTATAGGGGCTGGGACACAGATATCCCATGGCTGTAGGGGCTGGGACACCTGGGGGGCTCCAGCTGTGGGGTGAAGGACTGGGGACACGGCTGTAGCTGCTGGGGGAGAGGGTGGGCAGCTCTGCCCCCTCCCACAGGGGCAGAACACAGCTGTAGGACAGGAGCTGGGACCCCCATATCAGCTCTCCCCATCCATAGGGGATGGGTGGGATGCTCCAGGGGGTTCCGGCTGGAAGGGATTCCTGTCCACAATCTGTTCCTGCCCCTCTTCACCAAGGTCTGGGTGACGTGGGGGGTTATTAGACCAAAGCTTTGCTCGGGGGCTGTTGTGACCCGGGGCAAACCCCGCAGAGAAAAGGCCCAATCCCAGCTGTGCCGGGGCTGGGGGACATCCAGGAGGAAAAACTCACGGGAAGCCACTTCCAGGAGCTCTGCTTTGGGGGGTCCCCACCGTCTCCCTCCCCCGCGGGGGGCTACAAAGAGCTCTGTGTGTGAGCCCGGAGCCCGGGTGGGCTGTGACGCGGGGGTCGGCTCTGGTTTGAGGGGCTCGGCTCGGCTCTCGGGGGGGCCCTTGGGGGAGCCCCTGGTAGCGCAAAGGTCCCCGCGGGGACAGGTCGGGTTGTTTTCCGGGGGGGTCTCACCGTGGGCACCCCCAGGCCGTGACCACCAGGTGGCACCAGGAACCCACGGACGGGGGGCGCGGGTTCCGTGGGATGGTGGGAGCACAGGTAACAGGGGATGGGTGGGCACAGCTTCTCAGGGAACCCATGCACTCACACCCCACAGCCCTCTCCCCGTGTACCCTGCACCCTCCTGGCATCCCTCGCCCGCTGCCAGCCCCATGCTCCAGCCGACCCTGCAGAGCAGAGGGGTCCCTGAAACCAAGGGGGTCGCTCAGCTAAGGAGGGTCCCTTGGCTAAGGAGGGTCCCTCGGCTCTCAGGGGTCCCTTGGCAGGGCCTTGGGGCTGCCAGCACCAGCCTGATGAGCCCCTGGCTCCTCTGTGCACCCTCCAGTGCTACCACCCTGCCCCCAGGCCCTGCAGCTTTGGGGGTCAGGGCACCTTTTGGGGGGCAGAGCCGCAGCAGCCCCGGCTGGGCAGGTGGAGCAGGGGGGCTGCTCTTGG